ATGTTGCTGCTGATCTGTTTCATGTTGCTGCTGATCTGTTTCATGTTGCTGCTGATCTGTTTCATGTTGCTGTGTTCATGCGTGCTCATCTGCTCACAGACTCATGTTCGTGCTGCTGTTCGATGTAATGTTTTATGTTATGAGTGCTTAGTGTATTTTTAGTTGATGTTTTTCTTACTTCATATCTTGGATCTTATTACCGTTGTTCTTTGACATTTTGTTGGATGAAACTGTAACTGTGCAGTTTTGTTCCACCACGAACAACAATAAAGAAACTCCTCTGACTCTTGAGCTTCAGGGACTCAATTTACAAGAGACCTGATTTTAACAAAGAGTGATGACAACAGTGCACACTCATAAAAAACTTACAAATTGATAGGAACAAATAAAATGATGTTAAAAAATTAAACAAAAACAGCTAGGTTGTAAAGAGATGTAAATACTAGAACGCCTGTGCGTTATTCACGTGCGTTAGTCACGTGTTATTCTCGTGTTATTCACATGCGTTAGTCACATGCGTTATTCACGTGTGTTAGTCACGTGTTATTCACGTGCGTTAGTCACATGTTATTCACGTGTTAGTCACGCATGTTATTCGCGTGTTATTCACGTGTGTTAGTCACGTGTGTTAGTCACGTGTTATTCACGTGTGTTATTCACGTGTGTTAGTCACGTGTGTTAAGTCACGTGTGTTAAGTCACGTGTGTTAAGTCACGTGTGTTATTCAAGTGTTGCAGAGGCAGGGCAGCCGGCTTGGGACCCGAAAGTCCCAGGTTCGATCCCCAGTCACTGCACATCACGTGGCGTCTCTGGGCAGCACGTCTCATCCCCAAAATGTCCCCCGGGCGCTTTCAATAGCTGCCCACTGCACCACCTGGTGGTGGATGGGTTAAATGCAGAGACTAATTTCGCCATTGTATGGAAACATATAGTGCTGACATTGTGATGACATTATTATTATTATTATTCACATGTGTTTTTCACTTGTGTTAGTCACGTGTGTTAAGTCACGTGTGTTATTCACATGTGTTATTCACGTGTGTTAGGTCACGTGTTATTCACGTGTGTTAGGTCACGTGTTATTCACGTGTGTTAGTCACGTGTTATTCACGTGTGTTATTCATGTGTGTTAGTCACGTGTGTTAAGTCACGTGTGTTAGTCACGTGTGTTAGTCACGTGTGATAACTCTTAAAATCATAAGTTACCTTTCATACTCCAGTTTCTTCTCCAGTGCAGTGCTGTTCTTCTTCACATCTCTCATGTGCTCCTCTTGCTTCATAAACTCCTGCTTCAACTCTTTTAATTGCTCTGTTGACACAAACACTTTCACATTAGGTGTGTCTTTTTAATAAGGCTGTCAATAATTCCATTTAAACTCCGTGGCCTTGTGAGCGCCCCCTGCTGGCCCGTCCTACCTTTCAGTCTCTGGATCTCTGTTGTGTGAGCTGCCACATCACCCTGAAACTTTGCCTGAAACAAGAGAATCATCCAGTCAAAGGAAGGAGAGCCATCTCCATCTAAAACTTTTTGACATAAAAACAGCTTGAGCAAAGTTTATTAAGACAAAGAGTCAAAGTGCAAGAAGTTTTCTAATTTAAAGCAAACAGCATTATTAGACAAACCAGGAGAACAAGTTGGTCTGGATTATCTTGAACACATCTTTCAGGGACTGATCCACTTTGAGTTTTACTCATTAAACCAAATCCCGGTGCACAATCCTGGCTGTAGGTTTTATGATTTAATAGTTTTCCAGTGTGTACATAAACCCTTGAAGGAGGGTAATAATCGCAGGTGCTACGATCACTGGTCGACTCTTGTGGCTCTGGATGACGCTTTATATTTGTCTTCAAATGACAAAAGCCAACTGCCTACAAGACACACACGAGCTCCGGTGCCCACGTGTGTGTTGGAACAAGGTTGGGCTGTTGACAGAAACACCGTGAACTTCAGAGGAACATGAACGTGCTCGTCACCCACGCACACTTTTTGTTTGCTTCTCTGCGTTTCACACTTTGTTTCAAATCTAGAACACACTACGGCAGCTGTGGTTCTGTTTATCTCTGATGTGTCATTAAAGCTGCCAATGGATACGTTGCTGTGGCAGTTTTTATTAAACCAACAAAACTTTAATGATTTTTATCACATGGACCCACTGAGTATTTAGTTCATCTATTCCCTTAATACCAGAACTTCATTTCCTTACCGCTCACAAAAAGAGATATTTGGCTTTCAGGTGACACTTACGGAAAATGTAAAAAGTTAACATGCGGTGATATTTTATCATGAAAGCAGGGCCTTTAAGTCCAAGTGTGTACTGGTGGTTTCCTAATGTCAAACAATTATTGAAAGAAAAGCCAAGAAAATATCAATGTGTCAATAACTTGTCGTGTCTTGAGTAGAACAGCGGCTCATGCTGTTCACAAGTCATCACTGAAGTTCTGCACAAAGTCACTGAAACATTCACCAAGCGTAGGGCGGTTCTGTGTGGAGTCGACACACCGGCCCACTGTACCACCGCCACCAAAGGCTCGTCTGGGGACGGCAGTGGCTGATGCATAGCGCTCTCCTTGACGCCTCCAACATGGCTGGCAGCCATCATTTCAGCTCAACGTGAACCAGTTCATCACAGCACTCAGGCCCACTGGTCCCTGGCTCAGCGTAAAGACTCCCTGGACCATGCAAGACGATGACACCTGTGTCTGGTTGGGTAAGGTCCCCTTGCAGGTAGTCTAGCACACAGAGCACCCTGATGGAAACGACTGAATGGTCTGAGGTGACACTTGGGTGCCTCACCTTCCTTCGTTCATCACGTGGTTCTGCAGCTTCACAAAGAACGTCCACTTCTATGCCTTTCTGCGACTCTTCTAATCTCTCTTTATATCATACCAATTTATTTATAAAGCGTTTAAAATACAACATGGCAGCCGACCGAAGTGCTGTACAGAAATAAAAACAAAAGACAACGGTAAAATATAAAAAAAACACCACAAGTAAAAGAATACATCATTGAGACAGACTCTAGGTTCAAATCCAAAGAAAAAAGAAGTTTTTAAAGGAGTTTAAAACAGACAGTGACGGGGCCTGCCTGGCCTTCAGCTCATCCACAGTTTAGGAGCCAGAGCTGAACAGGTTCCGTCTCCTCTGGGTTTATGAAAGGTAGTCGGGACATCTGGCCAGAGGATCTAAAGCACGTGATGGCATGTGAAGGTGAAGCAGTTCAGACAAATGAGAAGGACGAAGAGCGTTCAAAGACTTGAAACCAAGCAACAGAACTTTAAACGGATTAGACACTGGACAGGAAGCCAGTGAAGGGACAGGAGAACTGGAGTGATGTGCTCCCACCTCCCTGCACCATCAAAACCCGTGCTCATCTCTGTGCAACTGATGACATCCTGTGATAAGCTCCGTGGCCAGTTCCTTCTGACGCCTTCCTGTTTGAAGCCGCAGTGAAGAGGTCCTGTTGTCTTTTGTTGGGCATCGTGGTGGTTTCACGTCAGAATGAGGACAGCACCAGGAGGAGGACTGTCATGAACCAGAACAGTGGACACCTGTTGTACATCTCGTTCAGCTCCTTGTCAGTCAGAGAACAGCAAGTCGTGCAAAAGGTACTGAAACACTGAATAGTTGGACATTTAGGATTCAGACGTTTAGAGGAGGTTGTATTCAGTCCACCTGTAAAGGGTCGAGCGCATTTTAGGTTCATCCTGAAATTTCACACAAAATTCCCCGTACATTTGTGAGTGGTGCGGCTTCGTAGCCTCTAAAAGTTCAGAAGACATTTGATCTGCTGCCATTACACGTAGAGGTGCAACAAATGTTTGTGACTCACCAGACAACTTATCTGTTTCATGTCCCAGTGAGAGACGAGCACAAATCTGAATGTTGTGAGAACAGATGTCACGGTGGCATCTTGTTACTGTGCTTCAGTTCCCATCATGCATTAGTGCAGTGAACATAAGACAAGTGATGAGGTCACTACATGGACACAGTCGCCAACTTCCGTCTGCAAATTGAGTAGTGGCCAAAAGATAAGTGCAAACCAGAACAAACCAGAGCAAACCAGAACAAACCAGTGCAAACCAGAACAAACCAGAGCAAGCCAGAGCAAGCCAGAGCAAACCAGAACAAACCAGAGAGCTCTTTGTTGGGAGCTTTAAAGTTTAAGAAATGTGAAGCAGTTTTCTGTTGAGTCTCGGTTCCTGCTCTCACCTGTGGTCAGGAACTCTGGGCAGAGACTGAAAGAACAAGTGGTCAAAAGGAGCTGGACTTCAGAGACCGGCTGAGAAATGTAGTTACCTGGAGGAGACTCAGTGGAGCCGCTGCTCCTCCACATCGAGAGGAACCAGTTCAAGTGGTTTGGGCATCTGGTAAAGACGTCCCCCGCGACAACTCCCTAGGGAGGTTTTACTAGGACGAGGCCCCGAGGGACACGCTGGTGAGACCATGTCTCTCGACTGACCTTTGGTCCTCAGAGGAGATCTCTGGGCTTCCTGCTCACTCCACAACACAAAACCAAAAGAGCAGCAGATAGAAGAACGTCTGGAATCAGAAGTTTAGTGTTCAACCTTTTTAACCAACAACGGACGCCGGTTCAAGGTGGTTCCTGCATGTGCTAATCTGTAGTTGCCAAAATGAGCTCTGCATGAAGAGAAGCCCTAAAGTTAAACGTTCGTAAGTTTCCGTAAAGATAAAAGCAGCAAACACGCGAGTGTGCCGAGAGTGGTGATTACGGAGGAAAGGACTGGGTGGATCCAACCTCTGGTGGTTGGAGGTGGGTGCAGCTCCACGTCCAAAATAAGTTACATTTATCAGCCGCTGCTTCAAACGGACTTCTTATGCTACACAACAAGTCGGGGCTGAGACGGGGCGGCCACTTGGGACCTGAAAGTCCCAGGTTTGACTCCCAGCCATTCCCACATGTCGTAGTGTCGCTGAGCAAGCAATCCTAATCTCTAATTGCTCCCCAGGAGCTTACATAGCTGCCCGCAGAGTTTTGTCACTGTATGGGACCAGAACAACACTAACAATAGGAGTGCGGAGTGTTTGCTGCTCCACAGGACAAGATTCCTCGGCTGAGAGCAACAGGACAGGTTTAATTCCACTCATTGTTCGCCCAGTCGCTGCTCTGCCAGCGGGTCAGGTCAGATACGCACGCAGGCCTGAAGCCTCCAGATTAGATAACGGCGTGGAGCGTCACGGTGAAACACTCAGCACTTACCAAACGGAACAGGTGCACAGAACTGCTGCCGTCATGAAAAACAACAGCACCTTGGGTTTTCTGAAGAAACACCGTCTTGTTGTAATGAAGCAAAGGGTCAGATGTTTGTTGTTGCCAGCTGAGAATAGTTGTTTACTCCTGGCTTTAATGTTTATTTACTTGTTTACAGCTCTGACCTCTGCGTTAGGAACAAAGAAACAATTAGACGTGCCAATACATCCAAGCACCTTAATATTCTTCCACTTTATAGTTTTGTCCAGCATCTACTTGATTTAAAACATGCAACATGTTCCTAACAGCGCTTTGACTGAGCCTTACTTTTCAGTCTGCCTCTGTTACCTGAGCGGTGTGTGGTTACCATGGTGACTGGTTTACAGAGGCCCTTCCTCTCAGCTGAGACACCAGGTTGGACCTCACCTTCTCGTCAGAGCACATCTTCATGAAGCCCTCCCGGGCCTTCAGCTTGTCCTCCAGCTGCTGCTGCTCTCCGTCCTTCTGCTCCAGCTGCTTCTTGTGCGCGTCCACCTGCACCATCAGCTCAGAGTTGCGCTTCTCCAGGCGGCTACGCGCCGCGTCCGTGCGCTGCATCTGCGTCTGCAGCTCGGCCAGCTCGTCCAGCACGCGCCCGTGCCTGTTGGACATGGTCCAGCAGTTGAAGGCGAGCACGGCGACGAGCACCGTGAGGAAGATGAGGATGAAGGACGGCAGGCGGCCTCCCCGCCGGTTCGCGCCGAACCCGATCATGTTTAAAGAATTTTAAATAAACTTAAAATGCACGCGCTCCTTCCGTTTCAGCTTCTCTAGAACCTGCCGAGCTCCACGCGCGTGACGCTCCGTGGGGAAACTTCTACTCTGCTTCCTTCCGCACACTCGGCATCTTCACGTCCAACCTCCGTCCAACCTTCGTCCAACCGCCGGATGAAAGAACCGCCCGAGGGACGTGGCCTGCTCACACCTGCTCTGACACGACACGAGCGACGTGGCCAGCAGCGCGCTGCCGAGGAGCCGCTGATCCCGCCCTCATGGTTGTCGGCTCGAAAACGGCTCCTCTGATCACAAGCGATCGATAGATCATGAATTTATCGAAAACACCAGAAGCAGCGACGTTTCTGACGTGACGGCCGTTAGCTCCTCGCGCTCCCCGTCAACAAGCTAACCGGAACCAGGAAGAGAAAATGTCTCTTTTTTTAATAAAGCGTTTAAAATGTTTCCGTCGGAGCTGATCTGGTTCGGTGGAACACGAAGAACACGCGCTGATCAGTTCTGATCAATGTTCTCTGCACAAAACTGCGACCCGCTCAGCTACCGAGACAAACCGCTACTTCCGGTGTTCCGTCCAGTTAAGTATCCCCGGAAAACTTGTGCTCCCCGTCTCGGGAGCGCGCGCACGGCGCGGCAGCAGATCCTAAATTCATTCGAGCTTTATTTCTACAGGTTGGTCTCGTTCAGCCTCTGGACTCATTTACAAGAGAGACCTGGTTCTAACAAAGAGTGATGACGACAGTGGAGACTCTAAAGAAAGCATGTAAATTATCAATGGAGAATAAATGAAAGAAATGTGTATTAAAAAACAAAAACAGTGAGTAAAATAAGTATTTGAACACGCTGCGACTTGGCAAGTTCTCCCACTTAGAAATCATGGAGGGTCTGAAATTTTCATCTTAGGTGCATGTCCACTGTGAGAGACACAATCTAAAAAAAATCTGAAATCACAATGTATGATTTTTAAAATAATTTATTTGTGTGTTACTGCTTTACTGCTGCAAATAAGTATTTGAACACGGAGCCACTCCTTGGTTCTCCTGGCTGTGAGCTTCAGGTCATTGTCATGTTGGAAGAACCAGCCTCGACCCATCTCCAATGCTCTGAGGGAAGGAGGTTGTTCCCCAACATCTCACAATACATGGCCCCGGTCATCCTCTCCTTGATACAGTGCAGTCGTCCTGTCCCATGTGCAGAAAAACACCCCAAAGCATGATGCTTCCACCCCCATGCTTCACAGTAGGGATGATGTTTTTGGGATGGTCCTCATCATTCTTCGTCCTCCAAACACAGTGATTGGAATTAAGACCAAAAAGTTCTATTTTGGTCTCATCTGACCACAGAACTTTCTCCCGTGACTCCTCTGGATCATCCAAATGGTCCTGGTCAAACTTAAGACGGGCCTGGACGTGCACTGATTTAAGCAGGGGAACCTTCCGTGCCATGCGTGATTTTAAACTGTGACGTCTTAGTGTTTTACCCACAGTAACCATGGAAACAGTGGTGCCAGCTCTCTTCGGGTCATGGACCAGCTCCTCCGTGTAGTTCTGGGCTGATTCCTCACCTTTCTTAGGATCATTGATACGCCTCGAGTTGAGATCTTGCATGGAGCCCCAGTCCGAGGGAGATTGACAGTCATGTTTAGATTCTTCCATTTTCTAATAGTTGCTCCAACAGTTGATCTTTTTTCACCAAGCTGCTTGACAATTGCCCCGTAGCTCTTTCCAGTCTTGTGGAGTTCTAGGATTTAGTCTCTGGTGTTCTTTGGACAGCTCTTTGGTCTTAGCCATGTTAGTAGTTGGAGTCTTACTGATTGTGTGGGGTGGACAGGTGTCTTCATGCAGCTACCGACCTCAAACAGCTGCTTCTCATTTAGAATAATAAGTGGAGTGGAGGTGGAGGTTATAGAGGAGGACTAACAGGTCTTTGAGGACCAGAACTGTTGCTGACTGGCAGGTGTTCAAATACTTGTTTTCCTCACTGTAAAGCAATGTAAAATGAGTTGGCAATGACTTTAACCAACTGATTAAAATCAGAATCGTATATTTAGGATGGAGGAAGCTGAGTCGGGGGACGTTGGGGTTGGTCTGTCCATAACCGTGGCTGAGCTCGCTGAGACAGTTAAAAAGCTTCGTGGAGCCAGGGCTCCAGGAGTGGATGAGGCAATGCCAGCAAACACTTACACTGAGAAAATCTTTTTTTGTTTGTTTCTACCAGCATAAAAGATTTTTAGAAGTACGTTATAGTTCAGAGGCTGGTGTGGGCTAGTAAATATTGGTATAGGCAATAATGGTTCTTCTAGTCAGAAATCGGAGCAGATGTCCATCCTGCCTATTTTGTCAAAGAAAACGCCAAGTAAGCATTAATATTAATCAAATGGAACAACTGTAGATAATTGTGCCCTTAAATACACAAACACACACACTTATACATATGTGTATGTGTGTATATATATTTATATATACATATACACACATAAACATATATACACA